GTGCTCTGCAGCGGGAGAGGCCACAACAGTGTGAGGCCACCACAGTGAGAGGCCCGCGTACAGCAAAAAAAAAAAAAAAAAAAAGACTTGTTTCCGTGTTCTCCCTCCTTCTCAGACTAATTCTTTAAAAAAGGTGCAATGAGTAAATAAAGACAGCTTTCAAGATGTTCATGGAATGACTTTTTTTTTACATTTTTCAACTAGTTAAGACAAAAACATTACAATGATTGGCTTCTTTCATTTAGTTACATAAATAAAATTTTTATAAATATCTCTTTATAAACAATATAAATAGCTTTACAACATAAATACATTTATGCATGACATGAATTTACAAACAGCAATGTTTTACAGCTGGTTTTGTCAGTCTCTTAAAAACTGTCCCTTGCCATCACGTCGGTGTAGGTGTGTGTGTTTTGTGTATATAATATATATAATATATAACTTTTTATTTTTCATTAAAAAATAAACAAACAATAAAGTCATACCCCCCTCCCTAAATAATAATAAAACAGCTGGTGTTGTGTATTCCCAGTACCAGGAAAAAAAAAAAAAAGAAATGTAAAATCCACATTGCGCTGGATATGCTTCCAGGTGCTGGGAGGCTGATGACCAAGGGTGACCTCAGCAAAACGGAGCAAGTTCCCAATCCTGAAACACAGAGGGGCCAAGGGACACTCAGCTGAGAAAGCCCAGCCTACAGGGCACTTCTAGAACCTTCCTCCCTTTCCTGCTGTAGCAGGAGGCAAAATGCCTCCACCTTTGCCTTACAGGCCCTGATGAAGGTCTTCCTGCAGAGGAAAAAGGGCCCTTCCACTCCGGGCCTCTCCAGGCCCTCATCCATCGCCTGCTGTGTCCTTGGCACTTCCTGCCCCAGCACAGGTGGAACCAGAAAGTCAGCCAGCCCTCCTCCCCCTCTGACTAAGTGCAGGCCTTGTCCTTGGCTCTCAGTGAGACACAGTGAGGGAAAGGGAATGGAAAATGAAGCCGCACCCACCCACCCCCGGCCCACCTCTATGTTTTGCTACAATACAAACCCTCCGTCAGGTGCTTTACGTGTCTGGGGGATGGTGGAGGGAAGGGGGAGAGAAGCATCTGAAGATTTGGGAAATCTGGACTCAAGTCCCAACTGAATATTACTTCTCGGATGGCCCTGCATAGCTTTGAGTATCGCTTTCCTCACCCATAAAATGGGATAATAGCCACCTCCCAGGGCTGGCTTTAAGATTCAACAGCAGGCCACACACTGGGCATTGGTAGAGTGTCTGGGTCACAGCTGCCCATAAATAGCACTTCCTTCCCCAGCTGGCTTCTCCTCAGAAAGGGTCCCCTTCAGAATCAGAGGAAATGGTGCGTCACACCGGCCCTGGGGAAATGAGTGGTCGTGCTGGGTTTGCTGGCTCACGAGTTGGCAGAGTCATTTGAGGAGGGCTGCACCCAGTCTCTGCAAATGGGTGTGTGGGTGTTCGGGGGCCAGAGGAAGGCTTCCTCCTGAGACAGGGTGGTGCCCTTCCAGAGGACAGTCCTGGCAGAGGGAGCCCGGGCCTCTTCCCCAACCCCTTTCTCTGCCGTCCCATATGTTTAAACAGAGGACAGATGTCTGTGATGTCCCTGGGCCCCATGGGCAACGGGTTCATTTAGGCACCCTCCACACCTCATCTCTGCCATTAGCATTTTATAATCAAGGCTATAACCATCAGCGACAGTCATTATGGCAGCTGGTTAGAGCCAAAGTCAACTCCTGTGTAGAGAAATGGCCACAGTCTCGGAAG